AGTGAAACCCCTGTTCAGTGCAATGACCTATGTAGCTCCAGGATCCTTGACAGCCTCCACTTTAAAATTTCTCAGGGAGAAGAGTCCATTCCCATCCAAGACACTGTGTTCTCTTGTGGAACAGTTCATACCAACAGGAACATTCTTATGTACTGTTAATTTTTCAGCAAGTGACAGTTCCCATACTTTCCTCCTTCACTGATCTGTAAATAATTCTTTTCCATCTTTACAGCCTGGCTGCCAAATGGAGAAACCTAATGAAGTCTTTGTGCACTGAAAATTTATTATCACTCATGAATAGTGAAAAAAGCCCTTAATCAAGAGAGACATCAATAGTTTGACCATTGCTCATTTTGACAGAAAGTTCAATCCCTTGTTCAGCTATGGAAACCCACTGGGTGAACTTAGGCAAGTCACACTGGAGATTACTGCACAAGTGTGCTTTTGCATTGATTTCGTACAATTCCTTTCACGTGATTACAGCTTTATCAATGATGCTATAGAAACACTTCTTTCTGCAATATCTGTTAATCCCAGGATTGTCCTTGTTTTGTCTCAAAAGTGGTATATGATGTTTTCCACACACCCACACTTACCCAATCCTCTGCCCCATTTTTCCCCTCTTGTGCTCATGTATTTTGTTTTTAACAAATTATCTGAAGTCTCGCAGCTATGAGATTAGACCCACCATCATGAGCAAATCTTCCGATCAATTTACATAGAAATGATAAGTAATATCAAGTGAATCGATCACTAACTACTTTAAAATTTTGAAATACATTTTTAAAAAAATATAAATTATAGATCAATGGAAAAAGCAGAAATTCATCAATTGCAGGAAATTTGCTCTTTGAACACAAAGAACAGAAGTGGGGAGAGCAATTAAAGTCATGCCTGTTTTTAACAATATGGGCAATACTGTAGCACTGAAAATAATGAGAATTTGGATCAAAATTATCAAAAAAATTATTTTATATGACAACAGCTGCTGAAGTACTATATGCATCTAAATGAAAAAAGAATGAATATCCAGATGTAAAAGCGTGGCTGTTGAAATTATATGATTACATAGAGACAGATAAAATGACTCAATTGCTGAGAATGAACTCAAGCAAATTTAAGAAGGAATGGAACCCGTTGATAACGTATTTGAGAAGAGACTTGGGCCCAAATTTCATTACTGGTTTGGAATGAGACAATGGTAAGATATTAGATTTTTTTGGAGGAGGGAGACTCAATAAGAGAAAAACATTATATAAATATAGAGTCAAAATTGAGAATGATAAAATCCAAACTAGGGAAACTTTATTGAATTAACACTCGAGTGAAATGGAGAGTATAGGAAGGTTATAAATGTCTGGTAGTGTTTTATGGTGTTATTGTGAATGATGTTAAGTTCTGTAAATATAAAAGTAGGGTATAATTTGGGTGGGGTTTTTTGTATTTTCAGTTTTGTCTTTATTTTATCTATGTGTTTTTATGTAAGTGTAGTTTTGTTCTCTGTCTGATCTTAATGTTAAAGAAATAACAAATATTGTAGCACTAAAGAGATCTGCAATTGCATAATTGTGTGAATGCAGCAACATTGGCAGACATTGACAGGTGTATATCTTTAATGTGAAGTTGCACTATAACAATTGGTTAACAAGGGCCCAGCACCAATGTCATGTGGTAAGGGGAGGGACAAGGTGTTATAATTCCACTTTAATAGCATCTCTAGATGCTATAATTCCACTTTAATAACACCTCTAGATGCTATTTAATAGCATCTCTCTCTCAGTCTTAAAGAAAGTCAGTAGCAAATCACTTCTCAATAAGGAGCATATCGCCTGGTTTATTAAAGCGCCTTACTTCTCCCAACTTAAATTTTAATTTAGGTGGCATCTTGATACTATTGCAGTGATTTTTGCCACCCAAATACAGCCCAGGTCCATCCCCGCTCCAAGGACGTTATCACACGCGGGTCTCAAAGTGGCAAGAAAG